AGTCTTTGCCTCCCTGGAGTGCACTGTAAAAACATTGGTCTACCAAAACATGACTAATTTTAAAGAAGCAATTAGCCCTTTGCAATATTGTAGTATATCTCCTGTTGTCAGCTGTGAGTCAAAAGAGGCAGGAGCCAAGTGCATTGGGCATCCTGTAACCATCTCAAAGAGTGAGAGAATATGAGTTCCACGGGGGTGAATCTGAGGTTTGGAAGGATAAACAGCAATGCTTATGGCCAAGGTCTTTGGAGAGTCTCTACAAATTTCGCCAATTGAGTCTTAATAATGCCATTAGTGTATTTGACCAAACCAGAGGATTGTGGGTGGTGTGCACAGTGAAAGTGTATAAGCAGCAAAACAGCACAGATTTGTCAAGGTACCTGACCAGTAAAATGGGTTCCTTGATCATTATGAAGCTTGAGAGGAGTTTCCCAGGTAGGGACAATCCTTTCCAAAAGGACTTAAGCCACAGAAGAGGCAGTAGCATGTCTGCAAGGAAAGTCTTCAGTCTGATGAGAAAATATACAGACCATGACTAAACCATATTTATGTCCATGAGGCAGAGGAAGTTGTATGAAATACATGTGACAAACATCAAATGGTCCATTAGGCAATTTAAAATATCTGGGGGCAGTAGAAACAGGTTTCCCTGGATTGTATTTTAGACAAGTGGGACAAGAGAGGTAGGCACTTTTAGCAGCCTTGTTAATATGCTCCCACTAATATTGATTCATAATTGCCATCATTTTGTCAGTAGACCAATGATTAATGCACTTACAGTGGTTAGGAGTAGGAATTTTAGAGTCTGGTAAAACTGGGCTGTTATTTTGTCTGAGCCAGAGCTTTCTCTTTTTATCAAACCAAAAATTGTTTAATTTCCACTCTTGTTTTTCCTTTTCTGAGGCCTATTGTTTGGCTTCTCTAGCCAGTTTTTCTAAGTTATTTGGGGAAATATTCCTTTGGACTATGACAGAAGTTTGGCTGTTATTGACTCCTTTAAGGGCTGCATTTCTTGCAGAAATATCAGCAAGGTGATTGCCTTTAGCTTCCAGAAAGTCAAGTTTAGAATGCCCAAGGATGTTAATAATAGCCAAAGTGGCAGGTAAGATTACACCATCCAATAATTCCTGAACATAGGGACCACTTTTAGTTTTATTTCCAGTGGAAGTAAGGAAGCCACGTTGCTTCCACAACATTCCAAGATCACGAACAACTCCAAAAATGTATCTATTATCAGTATAAATGTTGGCATTTTTGCCCTTGGATAAAGTACAAGCCCATGTAAGAGCATATAATTCAGCTTCTTGGGCCAAAGCAGCCATAATTCAAGGTACTATCTCAACAATATCAAAAGGAGTTGCAATAGCATACCCAGCACAATATTTGCCATCATTACCTTTTAAGAAGAACCATCAGTAAGCCATGGCAAGTGGGCATTACCCAAAGGAGTTTCCTACAGATCATCCTGAGGAGTTAGGAAGTGATCCATCAACATTAAGAAGTCATGAGGGACATTGTCAATAACAGAGGGGAAGAGAATAGCAGAGTCAAGGTTATTATAATGTATAAAGAACTATGTTAGGAGCAGTTAAGAAAAGGATTTCATAGGAAGTGAGGCAGCTGACTGAAATATGTTGAGTGTGATGAGAATTCAGGAGGGCTTCTACTGCATGAGGTACAAAAATGGTTAAAGGTGGTCCCACAATGATATTCTCAGTGGTCTTAACCAAAAGGGCAGTGACAGTAATGGCTCTAAAGCAACAGGGGTATCTCCATGCCACAGAGTCTAGTTTCTGGCTATAATACCCTATGGGTCAATGGTGGTCCTCGTGTTTTTGGGTGAGTACCACAAGGGCATTTCCTTCCTCTTCATATGCAAAGAGGAAAAAGGAAATCTGATAATTAGGATGTACAAGGTCGGATGGGGTATATCAAACTCTCCTCTAAAGCCTTAAAGGCTATGTCATCCAGTTCTTTTCATAAAATTGGTTTGGGGTTGTTGTTCTTTACTAAAACATGCAGAGGTTTGGTCATAAGACAGAAATTTGGAATCCAATTTTGGCAAAAACCAACTAGCCTGAGAAAATCTTGCCATTAGTTCTTAGTTTTGGGTTCAAAGGAAGAGGGAGTGTGGAGAGGTTTAGGGAAAAGGGGAAATTCAATGAGAGAGTTGGTATGGAGGAACTAATGGTATAGAGGAGGTGTAGATGGTATGGAAGGAAAGGAAGAAGATGGCACCAGAGGGAGGGTCTGAGCACGAGGAGGCTGGTAAGAGGAATATGATGGTACTGGAGGCAGAGCCTGTGACAAAGAAGCTGGAGAAGAGGAGCATGGGGCTTCAAAAGCCATTTTATCTTTCTTTATTCGTTTGTTTGCATCAGTTAACCTTAAAATTTTATTTTACAAAGAGGCAGTTTTAGACCCCTGATAACGCTTGGAATCCTCAAAATACCAATAGAAATAGGTGTTCTATTCAATTTTCGAGGTTACAAAGCTACGGAAGTCCAATTCCGTTTTAAGAAAAGTTTTTGGTAGTTCAAAAGTTCCCCATAATGGCCATTGATAGTCTAAATTACTTTTGGTTAAATCAGTCCATTTAGTTAGAAATGTACATGAGGAGAGATTGTGGTTTTTAAACATAAAATAAGCTAGGGTTTCTATGGGGGGACACAAAGTATTTAGATAGCTGGGATCCAATTTCTTACAGATTTTACTCTAGAGTAAAGAAATAATTCTCAAACAGCCTAAACAGCTCAAAGGGCTTGAACAGCTCAATCCACCTGCTGACTTAATACCAGTTAGTTCCAATAGAATAGTCCTATTTCCTTAAGGAGGACCAAAGGTTGAATCAACACAGTTCCAAGGAACAATCTGGTTCCAAAGGGAATCAAACTGGAGACTGATCAATGCAGTTCCAAAGAACAATCTGCTCCCAAGGGAGTCAGGCCAAAGGCTGGGCTGGCACAGTTCCAATGAAACAGCTCAAAAGTCAGACTAAAGGCTAGCACAGTTTCAGTAGGAACAGTCTGGTATCTAAAGGAATCAGACCGAAGGCTACCACAGTTCCAAGGAACAACCTGATTCAAAGAGTCAGGCCAAAGTGCCACCTGAGTACTCACAGACAAACAAGAGCTAAACTAGAAAAGGACAAAGTCTTAAAGTATATCTTGAATAAAGCCTCAAGAGCCTCAAATGCAAAGAGGGTGGAAGCCCAGATCCAAGAGAAAAAAACTCTCAAACTGCAGAGTCAGCAAGAAAAGCAGCAAGCTCAACGGGCTCTTTTGTGGGTACTACACCTTTTTGCACACCAGCCTCAGAGTCATCAGGGAGTCTTCTCTGGATCCCCATATGGGCCACCAAAATGTTGACCTTAAACAAATAGATAGCCAGTTATTTCTTCAGCAAAAATGGCTTTATTCAGGATCAGTAAAGAATTGCAACTGGGTTCTGGAACCATGGCAAGCCACATGTAAGTCTCCAGCAGCAAAGGAGAGGAGAAACTCTTTTATAGAGAGGAAGAGGAAGTTGGGAGGGCTATCGTAAACTAAGAGTTCAAGGTACAGTGGCTTTTCATTGGCTGAGTTGTGACAGTCTCTCATCAGCTGAGCTTCTTGCCCCAAAAGAGGAAGCCTTTCTTATTCCTGTTGGGCTCTGCTATAGAAGTAGGGTGCGAGAGCTCCCCCTTTTGTTCTCTCAACTCCATTTTAAGGAGGTTTCTATTTATTAACTTCCCAGCAATAATTCTCACCTACTTTATAAGTTTTCTTGTCCTATTTCTCTTATTCCTTTCTCCTCTGCTATCAGATGCTGCCTAACACTTGCCATATATAACAGCGTATTTTTATTCATCACATACTGACTTTTGGTTGCCCTTTTTCTTTTCATTCCTTTTTCTTTTCATTGTGCAATTCCAAAGTTTTATTTCAGTGAAACTGGGTGGGGGTGGGGAAGGGTATATGAATGCTATTTTTTTAAAGTAAAGCCACTTAGGAACCAAATTTTAACAATAGAAAGTCTTTTAAAATATATCATAACAAGGATTTTAAAGAAAGTGAGAACAGTTTTCTTTTTGGATCATTTATTAGACTATCAATTTAGACCATTTATTCACTTTCATCATTACTATACAAAGTGTTGAAGTATCAGCAAGCTCTAATAATTAAAAAGGGGTTGTATCTCTGTAAATAGATTTCGTATGTAGCACCTAGCACTGTAAGTTGGGCTACTAAGTATTTAATAAATTTACTAAATAACAATGTTTTCACCAGTACTCAAAAAATTTTACCAGTATAACTTTTCACTAGGAGGCACACAAAAGTAAAATAGTACTCATAATAAACAAATGAATTAGTAAAACATATCTTCAATAATTATTTGTTGAGCATCTATGATATGCTAGTTAGTGAGTAAAACAGAAAAATACAGAAGACATCGTCACTGTCTTACGGGAGCTCACAACCCTCAAAGGTGAGGGTAGATAAAACATGCTCACATATGCATAGAATAAAAATAATTAAGAGCCTTATGTCCACTTTCTGGAAAAATTAATGAGTAGCTAGTTACAAATTGTCTTCACCACCTAAAGTAGTTGATATGAATCAGAAGCTGTGCAATATCTAATGACATTGAAAATCAAAAGAAGTTGTTATGGAAGGCAAAAGGAGGAAGCAGGCAGAAAATGCTACAGCCTCTAGGTCTCCAATGTGGATAGAGCCATGAAGCCAGTCTCCTCTTCTCCCTTTTCTCCCTACCCAACCTTTAGTTCTCAGACATTCCCTTCTCCACAAGACACTCTGGCCCTGGTCCAGGCATGACAGAAGATAAGTGCTCTTAGTTGTTACCATACACTGGAGCATTTCTTATCTTCCATTGTTGTTACCTACTATTTCATGTGTACGTTTTGGCTCAATAAATTGATTACAAAATCTCTGAAAGCAAGGGCTTTGCTTTAAAGTTCTCTTTTATCTCCCTTAACAATGAGAACAGCACTTAACATATAGTAGGAGCTCATAAATATGTTTATTGTTTGAATTAAAGTGTATCTCAGGAACATTGGAAAAAGATTGATTAGAATCCATTCTAACCCCAGAGACCCCACCCAGTGTGATTGTCTAGAGTCCAGCCCCAATGTATGTCTTTGTGAAGAATATTTGAGACAATAATTAAATCAGCTATACCTAAGGCCCACCCCCATATGCTAACAACCAATCAAAACCAAGTATTCCTTGTATCCATAGGCTTCTATAATAAAAAAGTTAGGGAAAATGTCTTCATGATGGTTTTATAATAACGTTAAAATTTATAAAAGACATGGAAATTAAATCTTCCTTTGCCAGAAAGAAATGCAAAAACTGTGTTTTATCACAAAACAAAATAATTCACATGGCCTGTGCAAAGAATGTTTCTCTTTCGTCTCATTGCAGTATATAAAAAATAAAGGATATGATGACCTTATTCAATGATTTGGCTACAATTGCTACAGCAGTTACTCTTGGCCTTTTAAGTGTAATTTCACACTGGTATTTTATAGGATTTGGTATGGAGGTAACAGTTACAAAATTACCAGCCTTCATCCATTATTTATTGTTTCACATCTTAGACCTGTCACTCCAAGAGTACAAAAATGACAACTGAGCCCTTTAATAGAATAGTATGGCTTTTAGTCTTAAAAGGGTGATTTCGAAATAGGTTTAAGCAAGAAAGCATGGACGAATGTGAATATACTTAACACTACTGAACTGTAGATTTAAGAATGATTAAGGTAGTAAATTTATATCTCTTTTTATCGCAATTAAAAGTTTTTAAAAAAATGGCTGAACTTTGTGTATAATCGTTTTCTTCAGGGACTCTTTAAAAGTAGAAAAGATTCTGATCTGTTAGATGACTTATTTATGCTCTTGTGTGAAAAATTCAACCGTGTAATCATCCACACATCTCTTCATTGCTCGGGAAATCGGTTTCCTCATCTGAAAAATGAGAGAGTTGGATTAAATTATCTCTAAGTTTCATTTTAACTGTAAGTCTGGTTCTAAATTCATACTTCTGTTTTTAGTTTTGAAGAAGAGTAAATAGGAAGTGCATTTCACCTTGAAAAGGGAACAAGACAAGCGCCATGTCATTATTTGTTCATAACTAAATCAGATAGTGCTTTGAATGTCCGATCACTGTTCTGACACATTAAAGCAATAAATGCAGTAATTAATGCTTTGTCTGCAAATCATTTCATAAGTTTAAGAGTGAGGAAATAAGAATTTTTGCACTTTTACACTAGTGAAGTTTTAATCTATGGATGGATTTAGTCCTTGGATCAATGTAAAATATATATTTTTTTGTACTATTCAAAACTAATTTTGAAAAGGTTGATATTACATCATAACCTGAGAGGGGGAAAAAGAGCTCATCAGAAAAGTTTTAAGCTCAATGCTTACCCCACAAGAAGTCAGTTGTCACATTGGGTTGTAATTCTTAGATAATTCATAAGTAATTCAATCAACTAAAATTAAAAAAACAATGTACTAGTTAAGTATAAGATTTGCCTAATAGAACAAGTTGTAAAACGTCCAATGTTTTTCAGTGCATGGAGGAGAGAAAGCTGCCATGGCTGAGAGAGGAATGGCCTCTGTAAGTCTTTGCGTAGAGAAGTCACTCTACACTTGTGAAAGATCGCTGTTATATGGTACTCTACCTGAATACAGGTCTGGCTTCATTGCCCCAAAAGGAACGGAACCAGGCTGCTCTAGGAATAAAGCCAAGCCTTTCCCTTCTCCTTTACAGCGAATTTCTCATCCTGCTTTTTAAATGCTATAAAAATATATAGGAAAAATAACCTGGAAGAATAACCACCAAAATATTGCTATCTTTGAATATTTGGTTATAAATATTTTTTAAAAATTTTGTCAATTTTCTGAATATTTCACAATGCGCATGCATAATTTATAAGAAAAAATAAATAAAACTACTTTCCAAAGTTAAATAGTGTGACTCACACACAGTTGGCAGTACTATACATTACCAGTTTCATGGATGCTTGGCATAAAGAGAAAATCTGGGAGATGGAAATAAGTAAGACTTCTGCTCATTACATTTAATAGAGTATAAGGCTCACATGTTCTCAAGAATAAGGAGAAAATAGAAAATAACAATATAATATACCATTTATTGAGCTCTCCTAATTGGCCAGGTACTGTGTTAAGCCCTTTACATCTCATTTAATACAACATGGTCATGTAGGGAGTAAGTAGTAGAGCTGAGATTTAAACCCAGATCTGTTTAATTTCAAGTTCAATATTCTCAATCACTATCCTACACTACTTTCCTCCATCAAAAAAACTGACCTCATCATACCAAAAATAATTTAATTATAATAAATAATGAGCTATATTCTCAAATACAAAAACATGAATATGTTTGCTCTGCAATGACTATGTCATTTATTGAAATATATTCTGCAACCCTCTCACTCCAACATCTCCAGACTTTATCCACCAAGTAATAGTTGTTGTTTCTGGGACTTGATCTCAAGAATAAAAAATAAAGAAAGAAAAGAAAACACAAACTAATAAAATACAAACACAACTAGTGATGAATGTTCATTCATTTGTAACACAAAACATATATGGTTCTCAGCTCTTCTTCACATTTCTAAGGAATTAGATATGAGCAGTCTACGAATTATACATTTATGAATGAGATGCATCTCAAATTCTATTATTTAGAATTTGAAGGTATCAATGTTATGAGTAGTGGTTTCATTCCCACACTAACACACAAAAGCTATTTAACTCGGAACATAGCTAACAAATAGTAGCAGGCTGAGCTATAAATCCTCAGTCCTGCAGTGCTGGAAGTAGGAGTTTTTCCTTTGATTTTATCGGATGAAAGACTAGCCTGGAACAAAATTTTAAAATCAGATGTTTCCAGATCAGCAATGAACTATATCTCTTCCAGCAGTATCATTTCGTCTCTTTATATCAAACAAATTAAAGGTCAATTTAAAAATGCCCTTTGATTACACTAAAGATAGGTTAGTCTAATAGATTTGCTGTTAAAGAATCTGTGATCCCTGTATAGCAATCTAGATGGCCAAAGCAATCCAAAATGTTGTGTTCTTTTAAATCAAAGTTTTTCTTCTCTATGACATTTCCGCAACGGATCTCTAGAAAACTAAAGAGCCAATCACCTAAGTCAAGACAAATTAGAGTTATAAAATTGCAAATTCCTTTTGAGTGCCACTTTTTATGGAAAATATTTTTCTAGAAAATAACTACTCATAATCTAGTGAGTTCCTCTGGAAAATTATAACCAAAAAATATTTTATACAAGATCAAGTGTTCCTACTCAAATTATCCCCCTCCATCCATTCTCTAGTTGCTCAAATCATACTTTTATTCTTCAAAGACCTGTATCATTTCTTGGTGAAGCCCGCATGACTCATAGTAATTTATTTGCAACTCTAGTTTGACTGTTATCATCTGCCCTGTGTCATAATTACTCATATAGATGTTTCTCCCTCACAAATAATAGCTAATATTCATTGAGCCCTTCCTGTATATCACACACTATGCTTATTACTTCACATACATCAGCTCGTTTAATTCTCACAGCAATTGCATCAGTTAGGCACTATTTACTTTGCCCATTTTACAGATCAGAAAGCTGAGGCTCAGAAAGATTAAGTAACTTGCCTAAAGTTATGCACCTGGAAATCATCAGAGCAGGGACTCACACACACATTAGTCTGACTGCAGAATACAATGTTTTAAAAACCACACTATAATCCCCCATCCACCACTCACCCCACTGGACTCATAGAGGTCTAAGCCTTATTCATCTTTGTGTGACTAGCTCCTGATACGGTGCCTCACACATTTTTTTAAAAGCTTAATAAAGGTGTCAAATGGCTATTTCTGAGGCTCACTTTGGCTTAGGTGAGTGCTTCTCAAACAATCTATGGTTAGAGATCAGTTTCTGTCAAGTACAATAAAAACAAATTACTAGAAAAATGAAATTAAAAAAAGACAAATGAAGTAAAAGAATAAGACGTATAAAATACAAGCCCTCCTTTATTATTATATTTAAATGATTGTAAAAGACTATGAAAGTTTTCAATTTGTGGACTCAATTGTTACTTTTTGAATGGATGTACAAAGGAGTGCATGAATGACTAGGGGGATTTTAGATCAGACACCATCAGGCCACTTTTCTAAAAGAAAACACTTGTATTTATCATGTTCGTATGACTCACACACAACCTTCCCTGTGGAGAACTGAATCCAGGAAGTGAGTAAATGACATTCTTAAGTGTCTTATGCTTAAAGGAGAAGGTAACATAAATTTCCTAAAGATCCATAATGAGTCAATGGCAGACATGACCTTTTATTCTAGAATTTAATTACTAAGAAACTCTTTTACTCATATTGCAATCAATATTTGAACCTTTAATTAAAATTCAGGTTCCAATCTTAAAGGCTCCAAGAAATCTTATTGAATTCATCAAGAAACAAACATGAATCAAATTAAGATAGCACATACAAATCAAGGCTAATTCTATTAAGAGAGAAAGGACTTAGAAATAAGCTATGATTTTTATTTTTTTTAAATCTGATTTGGGTGTTAGATTTTCTCCCATGCCTGACCACAAGAGTTTATGCATTGCTGTGACTTCTGCACAAAGGGACTATAATAGCCTAACAAAATGTGTTTTGACATTGTGAAATGCTTCATAGTGATCTAGGCTTATGATATTCAAAGTTTGGTCCTGAATTTGTGCTAGTCCATGAACTCATGGTTAGTACAGAAATTGGAAACTTAGGGTCTACCCAGTGGTGCAGCAGTTAAGTTCGCACGTTAGGCTTCAGCAGACCGGGGTTCGTCGGTTCGGATCCCAGGTGCGGACATGGCACTGCTTGGCATGCCATGCTGTGGCAGGCATCCCATATATAAAGTAGAGGAAGATGGACATGGATGTTAGCTCAGGGCCAGTCTTCCTCAGCAAAAAGAGGAGGAGTGGCAGCAGTTAGCTCAGGGCTAATCTTCCTGAAAAAAAAATTTCAAAAGAAATAGAAAGAAAATGACATTTTAAAGAAACTGTGATTCTATTAGGTATCTTTAAGGAATATTCTCAGACTAATAGTGTCTACCATGAAAATAAAATATGAGCTATAGCTATCATATTTGATTTTATTTATCTACATATTTTGAGCTAGGACTTCATTTTAAATTTAAGTTTAGTATTTGAAGTGTCCAACTAGGCTAGAAAGTAAATAGAAGGCACTTGTCTGGAATCTACAGATAATGAAGATCACAGTTGCCAACCAAAGCCATGTGTGTGTCAGTGGGATTGTCGGGGCATTATCCGGCATGCCCCTTTAAAAGCCATGTGTCCTTGAGGCTGCTGTCTAGGCTATACGCCAGCATTCACAATGATAACAGTCCTGGGCTTGGCCAATCCAGCTGCTTTCTCGTGGGAGAGTTAGCACCAGGACCCTCGCGGTCTGAGGGAACATGGAGGCCCTCCGGGGGTCCTCTGATCCTTGGAATGCAGGTCATCCAGGGATGATCCCCCTTGGCAAGCAGGCAGCCTTTGTTCCTCTGCCTAGTTAAGCAAGCTTCTCTCAGGGGGCGGTAGCGGGTGCACGTTGCTGTCCAGCTGGCCGAGAGTGGACCTTCCCTGTAAGTAACTCCCAATAAACCCATATGTCTCGTTCGCTGTCTGCGGGTTTTTTCTTTGCTCTCTCAGCAACCTATCCTGCACTGCCCACCCAGATGGGCATGTGGCGGAACAGGGATAGAAGACAAACTCCTTCTAAAAGTGAAAGAGCTCTATGCTCCACAGGCACACAGTGTTCTACCATTTGAGTTAGCAAAGAGGAACTTCTACTACATCCCAACAGTTTTGAAAACTAGCAAAGTTATAATACAGTATAGAAATTTCATTATAAATGGCATTTTTGTGCTGATTGATGTCACTTTCTTTGTAAAGCATTATTATATTGTAAAACAGATGAATTGTGGAATTTAACAATTGGTACAACTCAAACTCATTATAGAACTGGAGGCTTAAGCTAGAATGTTCTTAAATTCTAATGACTTGTCTTTGTAGTTCACTTAAAATGCACAAAAAGAACTTTATATTTCTAATATCACAAAAATACTATTTGTCACTATATAAAAACATTTTTTTGAATCCTCATGTTCTATAAGTATCTGTTTTTTAAAAAATTTAGAGTTTTTTATAGTGGGGGGAAATGCTATATAAAAAGAATACTCTTTGAGTATTTTAATTATAATTAGAAATTCATTTTTCATTAAAATGTAAAATAATTTTGTTCAAGCACCTGAACAGGAATCACAAACAAGCTAATTGCACAAATAATTTTCTACAGAGAACATAATCCTTTAAGGATATTTATAATATGAGGATGGAAGATGAGACATGAATTACCTGCTGCTTTCTGCATGGTAACTTCGATATAATATTATCTGCAGAGCCAGTGAATGGTGCACTTTATTAATTGTACATAGAAATGATACCAGACAAGAATAGTTGTTCCTCTATCTCTTCTGCCAAGAAGTGTTGTCAATCTGACATTTAATAACAATGCCCACTCTTTTCTGAGAGTCTGTAAAACAATATTAGGCAGTCATAGCTGTCTGACCTAACCACTATTAATTAACAAACATTGTTCTCCTACCTATGCTGGTAGGCAACAATAGCAAACTGTTTTCTGAATGAAATACAGACCAATTTAAAACTCAGAGAAGCAAATTCATATTTGTCAAGCTTTAAAAACAAAGTAACAAAATGTAATGGTGATAAAAACCATATTTTCATGTTTCTAAATAG